GTAGTCAAACATAGATCAACTGATCCCTCAACACAAAGCATCACCAGAAGACAAACTGATAAAATAATTAAAAAATAGTTTTGAAAAATTGTACCTGCGTGGTCAACACCTAGTCATAATAAATGTGTTCATTTACTTAAACTCAAACCAAAACAAGCAGACCACTCAGGAAGCTGGAGGGGGGTGGGGTCTGAAATGCCTCGTTTGTATTTAAAGAGACAGCCTCAAAACGAGCTGATCTGAGACGCATCTCAGAAAAGGGGTGAAAGAGGGGCTTGTAAAGTTACAATAAGGAGGAATTCACACCAAAGCACTGCAGTTCCATTTTATATAGACCCCGACTAAATGATTTAAATGTGAGAAAGGATTTAAAAGCAGGATAAGTCTCCTTTAAAGCAATAAGGCAATCCATCCATCTCTGCACAGAAAATGTTTTCAAGCTGACAAAACTAAAATCCGTCAGCATGTCTCTTCATCTGTGAAGTCTTGCAGGGGGATTTGTGAACATTTGAAAGTAAACACGTTTGCTCGTCACAGGGTTCAGTGAGATATTCTCCTCGCTGATCTCTGTGGGGTCTGACAAGAAATAAAAAAGCTGTGAACAGACAGATTTACAGTCTGCTCGTCCTTCCTCCCGCTCTCCCAGGACTCAATTAACAACGTCTGCAGGACAGGGTGTTGGTGTACCTCCCGAGTGGAGGACTGGGCCACCTTCAGCCAAAAGCAAAGTGAGTCGTGGAATAAAACAAGGACAAGGAAAGAAGACCGAGTCTATTTAGATGTATTTTCTGAAAGCGGTGGATGATGAGAAAAGGCTCTGACTAAACACTAAACTGTCAGTAAACCATCTTTAGAAGAGAAAAGATCCCATCCTGATGTAGCTGTATAAAACATTTTGATTTGGACAAAGGTTGAGCTTAAACGGGCTTAAAAAGAGGGGAAAAAGAGATGGGAATAAAAATCCCAGAAAAAGAACAAGACAGATTACAGAAAAATAAAGGAGGATCAACAGTTTTATTGTATTGGATGTTGTAGAAGTGACCTACTGTGCTATAAACACATCTGGCAGATATTTTATTATTATTATTTTGTATTTTTTTGTAAAAATCATTGTTGCATGCCCTTCAATTGATAAAACACATCTTGTTTATGCTGGTTTGTGCCAAATAAAGAAAAAAAAAACTTGATACATTTCAGACAGTACGATTTCTCAAAGTGTCCTTTTTAAACTTAAACAGTAATGATGGCATGACATTTATTCATTCAACAGCAGCTCAACAGAGCCACAAGTCAGAGAGATGTAGGGCAGCTTTACGGTTTTCTCTGATCTGTTGGTTCAATCTGATCCCATAGAGAATATGTACAAACTGATTGAGTCCAAAGTGACAAAAAAAAAACTGTAGTTTCACAATAAAGTTAGCAATTTAACGTATGTTTTCTTCCTTATGTAACTTTTTTTTTCCAAATACAGGGAGAAAGTTGTGACATTATTTTCAAAGGTGAAAGGGCTGTAATGTTATTGCCAACAGCAGGTTCTCTCTCGTCTCATTAAAACAGCTTTTCATATGAACGGGTCGGTCCATCTGATGTCCAYGGAAATGCTGTGTGGTTTGGAAACGGAGCCGCCATATAATTTAAAACTTGAAGTGAAATTAAATAAAATTTCCACGCCTGAGTCATTCTGCTAAAACAATCATGTTGCAAAAACTGTTTGTCCGAAACCTGTATTGTCTTCTTAGCAGATCTTCTTTCTTTCTTTTTATAAAAACTAATCGCAGAGAAATCCCCGCTGGAGTCATGCGGATGAAACGTGTCAGTGATTTCTATCTCATACATACAAGATCATGACAGGAAGGACAGATTCTCTAGAACTTTAGGATTTGAATGTGTGTCTGTGGAAGTGTGTTGTGTAATAGCGGCCCTGGGGGGTGGGGGGTGGGGAGGGGATTTCGGAAAGATGTTAGAAAGATCCGGGCATGTGTGAGCGTCACGTCACAGCTTGCCTGCGGTCAAAACCGAGCACTTCTGTGTGTGTGTGTGGACACGTTTTTCCTACATCATGGGAACCATTTTCCCGAAAAAGCAGCCTCGTGGGGACCAATGCCCGCTCCCCACAGGTATGAATGCAAATTACGGGTGGGGGGTGTGGGTGGCTTTAGAACCAAGGTGTGAATTGAGTTCAGGTTAGTTTTAGGGTCAGGTAAAGTACCTGTGAGGTGAATTTTATGGTAAATGGTCTGGGTTAGGATATAATATTTTAAAAAAAGAATGGAAGTCAATCCACGGTCCCCACAGGGATATAAAAAGCAGACCTGTGTGTGTGTTCAAAACTGTCTTACCGTGTGATAGTTGACGATCTCCTGGAGGCTTTCTCCACACTTTTCAAGGCATTCCTGTAATGTTTCCCACACACACACACACACACACACACACACACACACACACACA